CCCTGGGCGCACCCCGACCCGGCGCTCCAAATCCAGCCCCCCGGGAGCGCTTAGCTGCTGGAGGGGCCCCTGCGTTGGCCCCTGCGTCACTCTGACGGACCTTCCGGAAAGGGGCAGGATGGACCCCCCAGCCGCAGCGCGAGGCCTCAGGCTGGCCGGCCAGTAAAGCAAGGGGGCTCAGGCGCCCGGTCCTCTCGGCCCGGCTGCCCCAGCAACGCAGAGGGGTTCAGGGTGGCCCCCAGCCGGCAAAGGAGCGCCTTGTTTCAGTTTACGCATTGCCAGCCGGGCAGCCGAGCTGAGTCTGGCAGTCCAAAGACTTGGCCGGAACCGACGCAGGGATTGTAGCGATCAAACCTTTGCGAACGAAGAGCCGTGCCAGAATTCGCCTGCCCTCGGGGCTTTATTTGATGCGCATTATGTGGGGGGCGAGGGGACAGATTCATACATCCCCAAAAAGCAAAAGAATTTCCCATTACGTGGGAAAGCACTTTATGGCATTTTAACAGCACGGAGCATCAAGATCGGGCATTTTCATCCACGTTTTATCAGGGCCCGGGAAGGCGTTTGGCCGCGCAGGGAGAGAAACGTGAAATGGAGGAGAAGAAAACCGTGAAAGTGTAAATGCTCCAGTTGGGGTTAGAAATGAAGGCGGAACGGCATCCGTGAGGAGCAAAAAGAGGCGGCAGGAGGAACGCAGCCCCTTGTCCCAGAGAGCAAGGTTTCTTTCCCCTTCTCCCCCCAAAAATAGAGTTTTAGAAGAAAAGCATCGCTCAAGGTTTTAAAGAAAGAAATCATCTTGTCTAAAATCTTTGAAGCTAAAAGGCAGGAGTGAAGCGGAGGAAGATCAAAAGGGGAGGATGCAAAATCTGCTTTTTGGCAGAAGACCACAGGAATGGTGCAGCACTGATGAACCAGTTGGCCCGGCTTTTAAAAAAATAAAATTAAAATAAGCCGGTTGCCATGGCCACGGCCATCACATCTCTCTCTCTCTCTCTCTCTCTCTCTCTCTTCTTCCCCACCTCCACCCCCCGACCTGCTTCATTTGACAGATTTTTCTAGAAACGAATTGCTATGGCAGTAAGGAGAAGGTCTAAAAATATTCCACCGTTTCATCCACTTTGCATCTGCTGAAACGTTTCTCTCTCTTTCTCGGCACGTCGGATTTTATATAACACCAGAATAATGAAATGACAGTCAGGGAGCAGGGG